AGGAACTACACATCCATTCTCAGCCTCCTCCAGAGATTGTTAGGCCTTCCTTGGGCTGTAGCTGATTGACCTCCTATCTGATGAGGCCTAAATAACTCCAGATCCAGTGCCATTTGGCAAAGCCAACGGCATGACCCCGATGATCGTTAATAGCTGTCTGTAAGGCTGGGTTCACACTGATGCGTTAAGGAATTTGCAGCGTTTTCTTTCTGTGCGAATTACAATCGCACCCTGTTCATGCAAACTGCTGCGGGTGTGTATACTAAGTTAACACCACCCCAAAATCGGTCTGCAAAATGCGGTGAAATGTGCAGAATCGGATCACATAGGTGTGAATACCCGTGTGATCTGATTCTAGAGCGGACCAAAAAAAGGGTCCTGCACCTTTTTAGTGCGGGTGTGGTGCGATTGGAGCCATACATAATGTATGGCTCCAATCGCACCGCACACAAATCGCATGTGATTTGCACAGGAATGCAGTGCGGTTCCTGTGTGAATCACATGCGATATACCGCATATCCCCAGATTATTAGAACGCTTACTCAGCAGATCCCCAGATTATTAGAACGTTTACTCAGCAGATCCCCAGATTATTAGAACGTTTACTCAGCAGATCCCCAGATTATTAGAACGTTTACTCAGCAGATCCCCAGATTATTAGAAACTTACTCAGCAGATCCCCAGATTATTAGAACGCTTACTCAGCAGATCCCCAGATTATTAGTACACTTACGCAGATCCCCAGATTATTAGTACCCTTACTCAGCAGATCCCCAGATTATTAGTACCCTCACTCAGCAGATCCCCAGATTATTAGTACCCTTACTCAGAAGATCCCCAGATTATTAGTACGTTTACTCAGCAGATCCCCAGATTATTAGTACGCTTACTCAGCAGATCTCCTCCTCAGGACTACCCCCAGCTCTGTTAATGCCACACTCAGTAGTACCCCCATCTCTGCTGATCCTCCACTCAGTGGTAACCCCCAGCTCTACTTATCCTCTGGTTTGCTGATCCTCCTCTCTCTCTGGTCCCCACTCATCTCTTGCTCCCATGCTGCGCACCACATGTGACATTGCTAGTTTCTCCTGCTCTGATCTGCCAGCTCTGCTGATCCTCTACTACTCAGTCCTCTCTCTCCAGTCGCTGCTCCCCTTCCACTATAGCGGTCCCATGTTGCACATCATGTGTGCCGTCTTCTAGTTGCTCCAGATGTCATGTCTGCACCAGACACTCCCACAATACATACACATGATCTGGAAGTGACTGCTGGTGACGTCTTTCAGGTTCGCTTGTTGGTCTTTTGGTGCATCCTGGGATATCTCATACTTGCAATACCTCCAAAACAAAGCAAAGCTAAAACTACATTATATTTTTATTTACATATAAAAAAGTCATTTTAACGTATATTTTTACATATATTTTTACATATATTTATAAATGCATTCCAAAAATGTAGCTGATAAAATGACTTTTTTATATGTTAAAAAAAAATCTGAAGAATATATTTTAAAAAAATTTATTTTTAAAAAATATATTTTTTAAAATATATTCTTCAGATTTTTTTACATATAAAAAAGTCATTTTAAACATATATTTTTATATAGATTTGTAAATGCATTCCAGAAATGTAGTTTTGTATTTTTAAAGACATACAGTATATTTGAAATGTATTTTTTAAAATATTTAACATATATTTTGTAATAAAAACGCATTTCAACATGCAATATAAATATTATATAATATATATATATATATATATATATATATATATATCTCTGTCTCCTAGATTGTAAGCTCGAAAGAGCAGGGCCCTTGACCCCCTCGTGTTCTGTTTTGTTACTGTATTGTCTCATGTACTGTCCCCCACTATAATATACAGCGCTGAGCAAACCTTTTGGCGCTATATAAATACTGTATAATAATAATAATATATATATTGAAATATATTGAATATGGCCAAAAGTGTAGCATTTCAAATTTTTGGCAATATATTTGGGAAGAATACTTTAAAAATATATATCAAATATATTTTTCTTCCATATGGGTGTAACTGAATTAAAAAGGCAAAAACAGCTCTGGCAGAGCTTCTGAAGGGTTCAAAGGATGTGTATTGTAGGAGTTTTCATGCAAGAGGTTAAATATTATTTTGCAATAACTGTTCTTTCATGATCCAGATATTGCAGTGCACTACAGCAACCAATCAGATGCAGGGGCGGACTGACCCATTTGGAAACTCGGGCACTGCCCGAGGGCCCGGGGTCAGTAGGGTGCCCCATTAGATGCCCCTGGTACCTTTCTCATAGGCTTTTTTGAGTTTGGGCAAGGATACAGGGGCCCCATGATCCCCTATTGCCCGGGGGCCCCATGAGTTGTCAGTCCGCCCCTGATCAGATGTCAGCTTATCAGACTCCTAACTATAAAAGCTGAGTTCTCATTGGTTGCTGTGGGTGGCCAGTCTTTGCTGGCCGCGCTGTGCTTTGTTATATAAGACTTTGGGTCAGTCTGCGGATGGCCATGCAAAGCTTTTATGTACTCCGGCAGCAGGAAATCCCATATAGCCTGTTCGGAGAGCCATCAGCTTTCCTTTCTGTTAGACCAGAAAGTGACACAAAGCTCCCGGGAAGATAATCCTTTTCTTTTATATCATTTCAAGTATTTTCTTCTGGCTTTTTAATCCCATTAAAGATGAACGTATGAAGCTTATGGGTGCTGCTGCATTGCAGACCTGTCAGGCGGCCGGGCTGTGCTTCTGGATTTTTAGAAATTGTGGACTTGGTGATGCAGAGAAGTAATTTGGCAGGAAGAGATTAAAGGAATCTTCCCCATTTCTTATAGATTCATCTGTTCTTCTCTTCTACTTCTCTAGATTTCCTCTTCCATTAAAAATATTATTCACTGTTTTCATCATTCATGGCAAAATATGGCTACAGCTAATGTACAGAGGGGAGTACCTTATGTAATTGATGCAAATGCCACCTGCAGCATTTCTGGCTGTATTTTCGCAGATCCGGTGGCATTTTAGCTCCATGCCATAAACAAGTATATAAAAGTACATTGACAAAGATTATCATTCTAAAAAGTGGACCTGGGATCAGAGATATTTTTCATGGTAACATCAACCTTTACCCCCTTACATTGAAAAGTCACATCAGCGCGCACCTTTATGTGTTGATGTCAAATCATTTTATAGCCAGATTAAAGTGTATGTGAACCCTCACCTTGTAGAACAGCCCGTTCTGTTTAAAATAGAAATAAAAGCCAAGACATTTGTGTATACATATAAAAAAATTATAAAAATGGTTTTTCACTTTTTTATCAGTGACCACATACACCCTTCTCAGCTGCATAAGAAGCTCAGGGAGGTGGGGGAGGAGAAACATCAATACAGTGATCTTCCCCGTGAATGGTTGTGCAGGAGGAGTGTGTCACCTGAAGCCTGATCAATGAAGGAGAGCACACTGCGTTTCCAGCACAGCTAGAGAACTGACCACACTGTGCGCTCATGCCTAGCATGGTTAGAAAGCAGAGGGACTGACACGAACACCAGGGATTTCACACAAAGGAAGCAATACAAAGAGAACAGGATACTTTTCACAGCAGTACAGCAGGCACATCAGGAATATGAAATGTTAAGGTAACACATTCTTTAAAGTGTTACTAAACCCCCAACAGTAAAATCAGTCTGTATATGCAGTAAAGCATGCTTGTTATACTCACTGTGGTACCTAAGGGGTTAATCCTCTGCATTGTATAAAAAGGACATTTGATCTGGTCTTCTCTGCCCCTCCTCTTGTTCAAATGTCCACCTGATAAGACAGACTGAACCTGTAGCCCTTCTGCACATGCTCAGTTTGGTGTGTATAGAGAGGGTTTTTTTTTTCTTGGGAGAGTGCATGTTAACCAGTGCTCAGCTGAAGTCACAAGACTGCTCTAACTGCTGATGAGAAAAGGTATTTAGCGGTTTATATTTACTAAAATAATTGCACTTCCATGTCCTGTGTACTGTGGGAGACCAGATATAGTGAATGCAGGGTCCAGGAAGACCAGATATAGTGAATGCAGGGTCCGGGGAGACCAGATATAGTGAATGCAGGGTCCTGGGAGACCGGATATAGTGAATGCAGGGTCGGGGAGACCGGATATAGTGAATGCAGGGTTCGGGGGAGACCGGATATAGAGAATGCGGGGTCCGGGGAGACCGGATATAGAGAATGCAGGGTCCCTTGGAGACCGGATATAGTGAATGCAGGGTCCGGGGAGACCAGATATAGTGGACTGCAGGGTCCGGGGAGACCAGATATAGTGAATCAGGGTCCGGGGAGACCAGATATAGTGAATTCAGGGTCCCGGGAGACCAGATATAGTGAATGCAGGGTCCGGGGAGACCAGATATAGTGGACTCAGGGTCCGGGGAGACCAGATATAGTGAATTCAGGGTCCCGGGAGACCAGATATAGTGAATGCAGGGTCCCGGGAGACCAGATATAGTGGATGCAGGGTCCGGGGAGACCACATATAGTGGACTCAGGGTCCGGAGAGACCAGATATAGTGAATGCAGGGTCCGGGGAGACCAGATATACTGAATGCAGGGTCCAGTGAGAGCAGATATATTGAATGCAGGGTCCAGGGAGACCAGATATAGTGAATGCAGGGTCCCAGGAGACCAGATATAGTGAATGCAGGTTCCGGGGAGACCAGATATAGTGAATGCCGGGTCCCGGGAGACCAGATATAGTGAATGCAGGGTCCAGGGAGAGCGGATATAGTGAATGCAGGGTCCCAGGAGACCAGATATAGTGAATGCAGGGTCCCGGGAGACTAGATATAGTGAATTTCGGGGTCCCGGGAGACCAGATATAGTGAATGCAGGGTCCTGGGAGACCAGATATAGTGAATGCAGTCCCGGGAGACTAGATATAGTGAATGCGGGGTCCGGGAGACCAGATATAGTGAATGCAGGGTCCGGGGAGACCAGATATAGTGAATGCAGGGTCCGGGGAGACCAGATATAGTGAATGCAGGTCCCTGGGGAGACCAGATATAGTGAATGCAGGGTCCGGGGAGACCGGATATAGTGAATGCAGGGTCCGGGGAGACCAGATATAGTGAATGCAGGGTCTGGGGAGACCGGATATAATGAATGCAGGGTCCGGGAGACCAGATATAGTGAATGCAGGGTCCGGGGAGACCAGATATAGTGAATGCAGGGTCATAGGAGACCTTTAAAGGATATAGTGAATGCAGGGTCCCGGGAGACCAGATATAGTGAATCAAGGTCCCAGAGACCGGATATAGTGAATGCAGGGTCCGGGAGACCACTTTTTAGTGAATTCAAGGTAACATACAAGACCAGACATAGTGAATGCGGGTCCAGGGTCCCCTTTTCAAAGTCCAAACAGTACTATTTAATCAGTACGTTCAAGCAGAATTTAGAAGGCATTGAGAAAAAAAGAAGGCTACAGATTGATACATCAAGAGCGAGGGGGGAAGGGGGGGATACTTTTTTTATTTGCACAACAGGGGGTACAAGCTTTAATAGATAGTCATAAAGTTGTCGGGGTATGTCCCTTCTCCAAAAGGCCGTTATCTCTTGTGTCAGAATTAGTACTATTCAACATACATGAAGGTAAAAAACCTGTGTACAGCTTCACCCCCTTAGAACTTGTAGCCCCAGATTCTTTGATGGGACAAGAGCCTCGCCTCTCCCTGATTGGCTGAAAAAAAGCTAGGCTCCAGCTACTGTCAGATCACATTCATTGAGCCAATGAGGCGAGAGCAGGGAGCGGTGCCCAGCTGTGCTTTGTGTGTGAATGGCAGAGCAGTGGTTCGGGAGCGAGCCTGCTTGGGTATCTTTAGGGGGAAGACTCCAGGGATGGGACAGCATTTGCCACTCACACCAAGACGTAACTGAGGAAATGTAAAAACTTTTTAAAACAAGTAAATATAATATACTTTCCTATCTATTTACTAATGCTCAGCCTAAGGATTACAAACAGTCAATGTTGTCTGAGAGTGACGTTCCACTTTAATTAAAATGCTGATTGTTTTTAGTGGAATGATCCAATTGGTCCTATTGTCCAAGTTAAGGCCGTTATCTCTTGTGTCAACTGCATGCAGAATACAATCTGCCTGTCTTAGGCATAGAGAAATACAGAGACCCAGTGATGGCATCACTCAGTCTAAAATAGGATATGTAATAAAACCAGAAAGGCTTTCATCAAAAAATGTCATTAGTATTGTGATGAAGGGTGAAGGAGGAACCAGGAAAGGCTAAACATAGAGGCCAAACAAACTTCAGCTTTTAGTATTCTTTCCATATGATATTGATATATTTGAATGAAACATTATCTATTTATCTGGGCCAACTCAACTAGTGCAGCAAATACAACGACAGAAACCAAATCTACGATGGCAGCTGGGACCTATGGTTAGACTTGGGGCGCCGCTCAAAGCATAGGAAAAACCAATCCCATTGGTCCTGAGAGATAGGGGTGCCAGTCAGTGTGTTCATTCATCCCCCAGTAATAGATCCATTGTATACTAAGAAAGCTGCACTCCCGGCCTTACCAAGATGTGGATGTCAGTGTAAAATGGTCTCAAGCAGCTCTTCTTCGCAGGCCACACCTCTCTGATGCATTTTGCCCCACCTACTGGGGCTTAATTATAGATATATGACTAAGCCCTGATGAGTGGGACGAAACGCGTAAGTGGGGCCTGGCCTGTGAAGGCGATCTGTCTGAGGCCGTTGTATACTGATATTCCAATCTCAGTCAGGCCGGGAGTACAGCTTTCTTAGTGTACGATGGTGGCTGCCATTTTTATCTCCATGCATGCGTTACCTGCTCACAGCCATTACAATTCCTAAACTTGAAGAATTGCTTTGTTCCATTCTTTGCTCCTACTTTACATTCCGGATGACTGAATATCACGGGTGCAGCCATTTAGGTACTTTTAATATCTCATGTTTGCATAATTACTATTAGATGTGAATTATTATAATTTAATGTAGATTTAGGGCTTGGGAAAAATGCCTGATGAGTATCATTAAAAAAATAAATTGGTCTCATTAAGTTTGCTTTTTTCTCAGCACATTCCTTCTGGATATTTACTATGAAATCTATGCAGTAATTATCCGTTTTCAATCAAGGGCTTGATATTAATTGAATGGAATTGTCACACTAGAAGGTTGATTTCCAGACGTATCTATGTTTTATCTGTTTTGGAATTGGATAATGTCGTATGATTAGCATTATGTTAGGTAACAAGTACTTCTCTAACTTCACCCCCCTCCCCCCCCACCAACCATCTGAATTTTTCTCACGATTTTAAGTTACAACTCTTTTATCTCTGTTATAGCAGGCACAGCTGATCCATAGAGAACATCTTAAGGGTCAGTTGGCTCTAAATTAAAACTTCTTTGAGAAAAATGATGTGCCTAGCACAAAACACATCAGCCAGAATTTGTTCCTGCTGGCTATTTAAAGTGGAAGTTTGCTCTAGAATTACTTCTATGATGAACAGAAACAACCACATAACGCATGTATAGCACCATGTTTGACTTCTGCCTGCAATGTAGTTTTCCAGCAATCAGCCTTGGTAACTACTGGCCATGTACCAGTGACACCATGCAATTCATGGTGTCACTAGGCCCCCTCATGCTATCTACAGCTTGTGAATGCAAAGCCTGATGAGAAATGCTTCCTCTGTGTTCTGTTGCTACCATCATCATGATAATGAAACATTTGAATAAAAATGTTTTGTTTTTATTATATACCTTATTTTAAAGCCAGTGATGTCAGCATCGAGTCTCTGTGTTTCTCTATACAGTGCAGGCAGATTATGGCTGGTGGAAGGGGCTGGGATGGTGCTGTGCATAGCCTCCTGAAATCATCACAGCTTCCTGTCTCAGTTCTTCTCTCTTCTTAATACAAGTAGTGGGCTGGGTTGTGGGAGGTGCTATGCAAAATATCAAAATGGCTGGATGTACCTAGGTTGGCTTCATTTGCATGTAGACCACCCTAGGTGACACACACGTGATGCTAAACCTCCATGGTTAAAAGAACTGAAAATGAATGAAGGGGGCAGGCCGGGGACATTAAGGCTATGGAAGAAAGGGCTAGATGTTGATGGATGTTCTCCTGCCAGAAAATGAGGCGGGCTCTATCTTACTTGCTGCCATTTCTAATGCACATTGTGAGAACCTCGCAGTGTGCAGTGAAATGAGAAAAAGCTATTTTTGTACAGGAGAGGGGCCTGTACAACTGTTTAAGGCTGAGGGTTCATTCACACCATGCATGAAAACTGATGGAAACTGACATGCAGATTTCACTTGCAGAGACATCAGTTTTCATGCGCCCTTCAATGAGATTTATACATGTTGCAGATTCCTGTGCAGAAAAAATCTGCAGGTGATACTGTTGTGGTGTGTGAACAGGGCACATAGAGAACAATTCATTCCATTGTACCCTTGCAGAACGCGTGCAGAATAACTGATGTCTCTACACCATGGTGTGAACAAGCCCTGAAGGAAAGGCTGGAGTTCAGCTTTACGTGGTATGAACTAACAAAGGAAAACTGGACTTGTTATTATGCCGCCAAGATACTAATAGGAGTCCAAAGAAATTAGTAAAATCATACCCTAGTTTTATTAGATACACAATATCAGAAAAAGCCCAAAAGATCAAAGACACTTGATAAAAAAGTGAAGATGTGAGAAGTACAGGTTACATCAAGATAGACAAATAGATCAGTAAACATCCTCACTAGAGATGAGCGAATTATTCAAAAATTCGATTCGGCTGATTCGCCGAATTTGCGGAATAAATTTGATTCGATGCGAATTTATTCGCTGCGAATTTTAACTTATTAAAAGGGTTTCTAGGCTTCAGAGAGCCTTTATATTAGGTGCAGAACACTGTACCTTTAATTTAAATGCCCTTGGAGTCTGCTGGGGAAGAGAAATAATACTGTCAGTCAGTATGACATGCAGATGAGTGCCGTCGATCTTAGAATCACCGCACACTTCACTCATTTGGGCAGTCACGGGGCCAAAACCAGAGTGTGGAGCCACAGTGTGGCGGGTGGAGGCAGCAGCAATGGGAGGCCATACAGCACCCTATGACAAAATGGAACCCACCAGCAGTGTGAGGAGACCTGAAAGTGGCACATGGCAGAGTGTGGCGATGGAGACAGCAGCAATGGGAGGCCGTACAGGGACCCATGACACACTCTGGACCTGGCAGCAGCATGAGGAGGCGGCGGTACAGGGGCCCATGACAGATTACGGGCCTGGCAGCAGCATGAGGAGGCGGTACGGGGGCCCATGGCAGATTACGGGCCTGGCAGCAGCATGAGGAGGCGGTACAGGGGCCCATGGCAGAGTGGCGAAGCGTAAGCAGCTTAAATTGAAGGCCATACAGAGGCCTATGTTAAAAAGTCCCCCCAGCAGCAGTGTGGGGAGACGACTATCAAGAGTCCAATGGCAGAGTGGCGGAGCAGAAGCAGCTTCAATTGAAGAAGAAGAGGATGAGGATGAAGAAGAAGAAGAGAAGAGGATGAGGATGAAGATAGAAGAAGAAGAGGATGAGGATGAAGAAGAAGAAGAGGATGAGGATGAGGAAGAAGAAGAAGAGGAATGAGGATGAAGAAGAAGAAGAGGATGAGGATGAAGAAGAAGAGGAAGGAGGATGAAGAAGAAGAAGAATAGGTATGATGAGGAAGAAGAAGAAGAAGAAGAAAGGGATGAGGATTGAAGAAGAAGAAGAGGATGAGGATGAAGAAGAAGAAGAAGAAGAAGATGAGGATAAAGAGAAGAAGAAGAAGAGGATGAGGATGAAGAAGAAGAAGAGGATGAGGAAGAAGAAGAAGAAGAAGAAGAGGATGAGGATGAGGATGAAGAAGAAGAGGATGAGGAAGAAGAAGAAGAAGAAGAGGATGAGGAAGAAGAAGAAGAAGAAGAAGAAGAAGAAGAAGAGGATGAGGATGATGAAGAAGAAGAAGAGGATGAGATTGACTGAAGAAGAAGGATGGATGTGGATGAAGAAGAAGAAGAAGAAGAAGCAGGATGAGGAAGAAGAAGAAGAAGAGGATGAGGATGAGAATGAAGAAGAAGAAGAGGATGAGGATGAAGAAGAAGAAGAAGAAGAGGATGAGGATGAAGAAGAAGAAGAAGAAGAAGAGGATGAGGAAGAAGAAGAAGAGGATGAGGATGAAGAAGAAGAAGAAGAAGAAGAGGATGAGGATGAAGAAGAAGAAGAAGAAGTGAGGATGAGGATGAAGAAGAAGAGGATGAGGAAGGAAGAAGAAGAGGATGAGGATATTGAAGAAGAAGAAGAAGAAGAGGATGAGGATGAAGAAGAAGAAGAAGAAGAGGATGAAGAAGAAGAAGAGGATGAGGATGAGGAAGAGAAGAAGAAGAAGAAGAAGAAGAAGGAGAAGAAGAAGAGGATGAGGAAGAAGAAGAAGAAGAAGAAGAGGATGAGGAAGAAGAAGAAGAA